ATGGCAACAGAATAAATCTCAAGAAGAATGCACTTACTTTGAATGAATGTGATCCAATAGTTTGCTTTATTGTTTTGGTAAGTACGAAATGCCCAGAAAGCCAGGAGTTTGCCCTGAGTTTTTGCCTCACTTGTGCAACATAGATTTATGTACCTATAACTTAATCACAATAAATACTTATAAGAATATACTCTGAAGATTCTCCTAGTTTAAAATGCAGTAAGAGAGTGAGTGAGAGGGAGTGAATTCTCCATAGGGGAGGTTAGAGAACTGGGTGGTGTTACACAAACTTGCATGAAAGCCAGGAATCTGTTCTGGCCTGCATGACATGAAGAACTTCATAAATGTGGGATGGTTAAAATGTTCTGGATGCTATATTGCACAAAGCAAATGAATAAACAAGAGCATTAGAAAATATTTTAGGATTAGAAGATTAAGAGTAATTGCAAAGGCAGACTGGATGGCTCAGAAGATTGGTAAGGGATCTGGAGCCTTTCACCTCCTGATTAGCCAAAGATGTAACCCAGGTAAGAAAAAAAAAAAAATATTCATTAACGTTTGATGTTCCAATGCAGATGGATTCTAATCAGTAGTTACAGAAGAAGCCAGGGGTCAAAGACAGCTTTACCCTGAACATGTAATCCTTGTGGTTGAATCTCTTATGTGGATATGGTTTCTGCTGGTAGAATTTCCTGCATTAAATACATGATTGCAGGAGCTGGCAGATTTTGTCTTCCTTGGTGATTTTTTTCAGTTTCTGTAAGAAGTATTTGTAAACTGCTTTGGCATGATGGAATTTAGGATTGAAATTTGAAAAGGAGGTGGGAGAATAGGATAGCATTTGGATCAAGGGCAAAATAAAAATCAAAGAGACATTTTTAAAAAGAAAAGAAAAGAAAGAAGAAAGTAAGTCTCTTTTCCCAAGTCCATCTATTCCATGAAATCATTGTCTTGACTAATTAAAGTAATGTAGATCTATCTGTTGGAAACATATAGTGCAATTACACAGTTTTGTTGAAGTACTTGCCAACATACTTTAGAGAGTACATCTTGAAACATTGTCAATTATCATGTTATCTTTTCTCCTTTTTCTGGCTATTTTTGGAAATGTGTGTGGTGTATGAAGAGATGGCTTAGTTAACATTAGTTAGCTATAGTATTAACGCATGAGCTTCAGATTTTGACAATTTTCCCCATTAATGAATAAACTTAATGCTTAAGAATTTTGAGTTTATGGTAATTTTACTGTGAAATATATTTTAGTTTAATCCCAGAATGAGAGCAATTTTTAAAGAATATCAGTGCAACCACATCCAGCACAGGAATGGAGAACCCATTCTAATATCTGTCTTTTTTCATACAGCATGATAATTAATAACAACTACATTGCCATAGTTGAGATGCTGCAGAAATAAGTGATAATCCCAAGGTTTCATAAGCAAATGACAGTGAAGGGATGAATTAAATCATATTTCCACAGTCCGAAGTTGTATGTTAGATTCTCTTTAAAAAGAGAATTGTGATGATTAATACTTTTCTTTGTGTATTGAGAGAACTGTTGATCTATAGTTGCTCCTACATTTCCTCTGCAAGATGTACTTGTATTCTTGACTGCCACTAGCTGTGTCAGCTGGAACTTCAGACTTCAGAACAGAATTGCAGAATTTTAGCATTGCTTTTGTTCAGGTTCTTTTTTATGTTCGAAAGAAGTGTCTACTTACTCTGTTAGAGCAGAGCAGGAGATTAAGTTTTGTTGGGAACAGAATGAAATATGGGAGTAAATACAAGAATCTATCACTTTGGATGCCACACAGAAATGTGGATGTTGATTTCTACTGTATGTAAGCCTCAATATCTATCTATCTATCTATCTATCTATCTATCTATCTATCTATCTATCTATCCATCCATCCATCCATCCATCCATCCATCCATCTGTCCATATTCCACTTTTTCCATCTCTTTTACTTTTCCTCTTTGTGGGGCAGATCAGAGTGCAGAAGGTGAAGGACAGTTACATCACCAGTGAAGAAGTTTAGTGCCTGTACATAGAGATACAACGTGTAACTGAAAAATGTGAAAGTCAAGCCAAGATTTGAGCAAAGTGCAGAAATCAGAACAGTTCTGCAAATGTGTAGGTTTCTTCCAAATGTGGCTGGCTGAAAGCTGAAACAGATTCAGTTTATGCTGTCACTTCAAATGCTTCTCCCAACCTCTTTGCATAGAAACCAGTTTCTTTAGTAGTCTTTGAATGATGATCCTCATGGAGATTTTCAGTAGGCTTTCTTATGTGTGAAAAGAGGTTTTTGAGTATAATAACATTAAGATGACCCCGAGTTACTTTTCACATACGTGGTCTAACATAATGTACTATTTTGAATTGTGGCAGGTATTCATGGAAATGCCAAACCGATAACTGCTAATCAATTACATTTGAATGGTGTAAAGATTGTATGTGTCTCCCACATTACAAGAACTTAACACAGGCACTTTGGGAATATTTAGTTCTACTTTATCCTCTTGTGATGCAGAGAAGGATGTATTAGCATGGAACACAAACTTGCTGTGTAGACCACTAAGCAGGATTAGCACAAGTTACAGAAATGATGTGATTTACAGTCCACTGTACAAAATACTAGTGCTAATATATTTTACCAATAAAATAAAAGTAATTAGCAATGAATAGCAGCTGGGATTATTGTCACTCAGAGTTTGTAACTGGTGTCCACCAAGTATCTACAAAATAGGTTTGTTATCTGTAACTCCATGGCTGGACAGCTGAAAGTAATGTTTGTATTTACTCACTGAAGCTACTTAAGGTAAAGCGTTTTGGTCAGTTTTCTGTGCATGTGTAGAACAAACATACATATCTAATTAAATGAACGAAACCAGATCACCTTGCAACTTATGAAATGGTGCAGTGGACTGCTGTTATTTTCGGTATACTGTAATTCCATCAGTGCTTTCTTTGTCTTTTGATGCCACTAAGACTTTGAACATTGAAATAATGCAGTGGATGGAGACCTGAAGTGCCAGATATTGGAAAGCAGGCACATATCCCACTGCTGTCAGTTGGATCAGGCTCAGCATGGCTTTGTCTCCAATTCTTGCTCGCCATAAAATGAATAAAGGGAGGTAACTCCTGCACTATAGAAGACCTGTTAAACATCCCTCTTGCAGAGAACGTCTTCAAAACCAAGTTCATTATTTGATAGCAGAATGTGGAGCCTCAGTTAAAGGCAAAAATGTTATTACAGCTAAGTCCTAATGATTTGGCTGCCTGACTCACCATTGCCTAATGAGATATGTTTCCTAAACAAACAGAAAGCCATTTTCAGTTTATTTAAGGAAAAGTTTTAAGCAATGCAGGGGGATTTTGTTTCCTTAAGGAAAAAAACAAACACAAAAAAGAATTGAAGGCTGAATAGCAGCAGCTCATTATATCATGGCTTAGTATCTCACATTGCCTCACTATACATGCTCAATTCTGATGCGATACAAAGGATAGCATTTCATTCTCTGAGCTAAATGGCTAAAAGGCATTTATATTATATACATTTAAAAATGTTTACCTTTCATGCTCTCGTATGCCTGAGCCTTTCCATTTGGGATGATACTGAATGAGCAGTGAGCATGTTATTTTTGTGGCATAGCTGTTGATGGGGAGAAGAAAAATAATTACATGATTTGCCTAATACATGAGAACTGAAACTTATAGAAATGTAGTAAAACACTTATTGGATGGGAGAATGAAAATCAAACCCTTCAAGGCTGAATTTTATATTCCCTGTAAGACATTTTCTGGGTGTAAAAACTGAGAATATGTCACAAGGGAGCTTCCACCCATGTCTACACCACGTGGTGTAGACTGGATGATGGCAAAGCAGTTGATGTCTGTGGATTTTGGGAATTATCTTCTGGAAGCTGTACACTATTTGCTACTCAGGAAAAGAAGCTGTGCAATGGTGACATTTTTGTCAAGAGATTCTTTCTTTGGCCTTCAAACCAGTTGTACAGGAGCAGCAAATCTCCCCCTGATGTCAGGGGCAGGTGTGGTGCACTCCTGGGAAGGGCAGGCCTGCCTTGCTCTGAGAACACGGGCTTTAATAACATCAGCCCTGGAAGCCTTCTTCCCTTCCTGCAGAGCATTTTGCTCAGACATCATGAGAACAGTTAAGTAGGCCTACCTTAGTTTTTTGCGTGTGTAATTAGTGATGTCACGGACTTGGGTGCGGTAGTTTTCTTTGCCACATGCCATTTTTCTACTGTAGTTTTTCCATCTTTATTTTACTAAATAAGCTCTGTGAGCTCTGTGCATGAGAGGAACAGAAGATTTCCTTGGAGAATGTCTGCAGTGAGTAATCTTTGAGAAAACTGCCTTTTTTTTGAGACATCAGCCACTATAGCTCTGTGAAAAGGCATCCTGGTGGATACTGGATATTTGTGTAGGAATGATCTTTGTAAGAATTGGTCGTACTCCCGACACAGCAAACTGAATTTGTTATTTGAAATTAAATTTTTGCTTGCTTGAATTTAGAAAGCAATTCTCTTTGCCTGTAAAACACGAATATGATTAAAGCATCTAAGTCAAAAGACTGAGGATAGTTTTTTTTTGTTTTTTTCTTCCACACCTAGTGTAGACTCCCAGGAAAATCTGCTTTTAAAGGGTTTAGAGCTATGGGAACTGATTATTGGATCTTCTGTCAATGACATTTAATCTTGTGCATGTGTGCCTCAGTCTCTGCAAATCTATATATTTTTTGTTCATAAGGAACATATATTCATCTATGAGAAACATTTAATAACATTCATCAACACATGTTAAATATGTGAGGATATATGTATAATATCTTACATAGTACAAATGACAATGGTGGCCGTGATTAATAAAAGAGGATTATGAATCAGTTGCTCTCTATTTCTCTTTCTCCCCCTTTCCACTCTTTGCTATTTGAATAAATATACAATGGAGCTAAAATGACCTTATTCTTTATTTGCAGGTTACTTTAGGTGGAACCTTTATTGGAATTGGGCGGAAAACTCCAGATTGCCAAGGCAACACCAAGTACTTCCGCTGCAAATTCTGCAATTTCACCTACATGGGCAACTCCTCCACTGAACTAGAGCAACACTTCTTACAGACTCACCCAAACAAAATGAAAGCAGCCCTTCCCTCCTCTGATACTGGTAAAACTTCAGAGAAAAACTCCAATAAATCCAGTCCTACTCTTCGACCATGTGATTCTGGAGACTTGGGGAAGTGGCAAGACAGAATCACTGTAAAAGCAGGAGATGATACGCCAGTTGGATATTCGGTGCCCATCAAGCCAATAGATTCCTCTAGACAAAATGGTACCGATACAACCAGTTACTACTGGTGTAAATTTTGCAGTTTCAGCTGTGAATCGTCCAGCTCTTTGAAACTATTAGAACATTACAGCAAACAGCATGGGGGAAGCCAGGCAGGAAGCCTTCACCCAGATCTGAATGATAAGCTTTCTAGAGGATCTGTCATTAACCAGAATGATCTAGCCAAAAATGCAGATGGGGAGTTAGTGACAAAGACAGAAAAGGGTGCGTGTGTGGCAAAAAAGAAAGACTTGAGTAGCAAAGGAGCAGAGGACAGCATGGTGACAAGCTACAACTGTCAGTTTTGTGACTTTAGGTACTCAAAGAGCCATGGCCCAGATGTAATAGTGGTGGGCCCACTTCTCCGTCACTATCAGCAGCTACACAACATTCATAAATGTACCATTAAGCACTGTCAGTTCTGTCCCCGAGGCCTCTGCAGCCCAGAAAAGCACCTTGGAGAAATTACTTATCCATTTGCTTGCAGAAAAAGTAATTGTTCCCACTGTGCTCTCTTGCTTTTGCACCTGTCTCCAGGGGTGACAGGAAGCTCTAGAGTCAAACACCAGTGCCATCAGTGCTCATTCTCCACTCCCGACGTGGACGTTCTCCTGCTCCACTATGAGAATGCACACGAGGGCCAAGCGTCTGACGTCAAACCAGAAACAAACGCCCTGGCAGGGGCAGAGGGGCCGCTGACGCTCAAGGAGAACAAAGAACACTCATGTACCAAATGTGACTTTACCACCCAGGTGGAAGAAGAGATTTCCCGACACTACAGGTACAGTGAAGTTTCACATGATTAATGATTGGAACCCAAACAAACAGCCCCCCCCCCCCCCCCGAGTTTCCTAATTAAATGTCACCATTCCTCAAACATTTGAGGAAACTGGAAATCAAAATAGGAATGTGTATAGATATAAATCTTTACAGCCAGAGTCCAATCCAACATCCACTTTGTTTTGGAAAACCACCAGCTAAGTTAGTGGATTTAATTATACATTTAAACCTGTGCAAAGGAGAGGGAAATTTGGATTTGTGTGCAGATGCTGAAGTTTCAGCATATTTGAGGTTTGGTCAGCTATTTTCCACCCAGAATCTTTTAGGTACTATAGGTACTATTTTAGTTTAGGCTTTTTCTGAGAAAGTTGGCATCTTATTCAGTCAGGGAACACAAATGGCTTTACTTTCCAAGATAGACTGTGAACCCTTTATGCTCTATAACAGTGCTTCAATGTACTACCTTTTTGTAGTATTTTCCATTCCCAAGTCCAGCAATGTAATGATTAGTTTAAGAGCATTCCATTGCTGTTTTGGTGTTCGTTTCCCACTGGGAGCAGACACTCTTTTGTCTGTTGATGTCATTCCCCAAGATCCTTTTGCAGATGCTTATTTTCGTGTTGCTGGTTTACAGTGTCATTCTATTTATTTTAAATGCTAATGTTCCTATTTGGAGGTGGACGCAGCCAGTCTCCTGACTCAGTCTGACACAATGTCATAATAGCAGCCAACTCCCTGCTAAACTTCTTGGGTCAGTTCCTGGGCTGTTGTAAACTGGCAGTCCAGTTTGCATCAGAGGAGGAGCTGGCTCTTAGACTTTGTAAAGAGCAACAGTTATGTGCCACTGCAAAAGCGATGTTAAATATTAGAAAATCATGCTGAATATGTTAATAGTTAAGGCTAATGCGTCAACAACAACGGAAAACTTCAGTATCTATCTGATCTAAAAGATCTTTGTGTGGAAGCCAGCTAGAATGAAGACAAAAGAAGATGCATTTTCAAAGCTAAAGCTTTGTTAAAAGCTCAAGAAACTGTGCCACGTTTAATAGATTCCAAGACATCCAAAATTAACAAAGGCAGACTGGGGCATGATACTTTAATAGAGATTAAAGCTGGGGGCATCCAAATGTTGCCCAACAGAGGGCTGCATTGGCAATATATCAGGAGTCTATTTAGAAAAAAAAAAAAAAAGAGCAGATTGCTCATCTTTAATTTGGAGCTAGGGCCCACAGAGGATTCAGGTCCCAGCATGCAGTTCCCCATTTTTGATCCAAGTGGGCCTGAGGGATGTTGTGTGGATTAATTAGTTAATGTTTGTAAACTGCTTTGAAGATGAAAAGTGGTATCTAAGTTCCAAGCATTATTATAACAGCTTTGAGCCATGCTGAAGAACTCCATAGGCAGCACTTTGTCCGCTGCTGGGGCATGGCATGTTCTTTTTTTAGTGGTTAAATAACTGCAAGATTGAAATGGCTCCTTTACTGAAAGAATCCAACCTTTTATTTTGCTGCAGCTGGTAATTTAAGTTTAACAAGCATGCCGAGCTAGGATCCTTTTTCTCAAGAAAGGAGGCCATGACTTTCAAAATTAAGTGCTAAGTCTGAGATGGGGCAGTTGTAGCTGTTCCTTCAGAGGGCTCAGCACCCTGCAGTTCTGGCAGTAGTCACAGGGAACTGCACTTCGGAAAATCAAGAGATACACTTAAAGTATTTTAGTCTCAAGTTGTTTGTCTACGATTACACTATTTTGTTTAAAACACTTGAACAACATACTCTGTTAACCTCGGTCTATGACTTTATTGAGTACTCTGAGGACATTCTGTAAAGCAAAGTACAATGTCCCCACAACTACTAACTTCTTTCCCTTTGTCCTGTAATTCCCCCTTGATAATTTGAATTTTGTTTCTTTTCTACTTCTACTGCTGCTGTTTTCCCCCACTGTGCATCTTTTCTTAAATCACATAAGTTAGTTCTGTTTGTGGTAGGTGCCTGTAATGGTGAACACCATCAGGTTTTATTGTTTTTCTATATATAACCTATTTTTCAGTCTATCAAACTAAAAATTTGGAGGCATTATAACCTTTATTTTTTTTATCAGGCCTATTTTTTTAGTAGAAGTCTGGCATATATCAGATATGTGTTTTCCTTCCCTATTTGTATTTCAGGACGTAAAGACAGAGCATAGTTAAGATTTTAAAAAGTAGAGCATCTATAAAATAGTGTTAGTTGATAGACAGAAACGTGCTAATGTAGTCAGCTCACATCCAACTGGGCTTCTCCCTGTCTTGATCAGATTTTGTCTTGACGCTTTTATGCCACACATTATGTACATCTGATGTATTTAAAATGCTGTACATGTGCATGTCTCTAAAACCTCTTCATTTATATAATAAGGAGCTGAATGGATTGTAATAGTAAACATAAAACTAAACATTAATGTGGTGGAAGAAGATGTTCTGCTGTTCACATATTTAGATTTAGCCTCGATAATCTGGAGTATCAGTGTTGGCTTTATGCTACTTACATATTTTGATTCATGTATTTTTTGTCTGCATTATTTTCATTTTTGAGTCATATGTCTGAACAACATGTTTAATTTATTTTATTATTTGTTTTGCTTCCTTTTGGCTGTACACCTACAATTTCACTACGTATTGCTAGCTAAAAAATTGTGTATATCCCAATGTTATTCCTTTGCAGCCATGTATTTGCAATAGTACTAGAATTTGCAAAAGCAGTTCTTTCCAAGTTTTCTTTCTACAGAAATGTACACTTACACTTAGCACTCATTCAGTATTTCTTACATGATTATTTGAGAGCTGTTCAGTTAAATTTGAAGTCAATGAATCACACTGCACTTGAGTTTACTTGTATTTAAACCTCACTAAAATGTGCTTACTCAAATAAATCCCTAGAAGATTTATTGGCCTCCATTTTCCACTAATTCTGCTACTACTTATTTTCCATTATACCTCTGAGGAATCAGATACTATTCATGTTCGTTGCAAAGCTTAGTTTTTTCTTAAAACCGTCTGGTATTCTGATGAGGTAGAAGATGCCAACACTTTTAATTTAGATAAAAATCAAACAGTATTTGGGCAAATTTTGCATATTGTTTCACTTAGTCTAGAGATTATTTTCCTGCTTGTTCCAAAAGAATTAGTTTTGATTTTTTTTTTTTTAATTAAACCAGCTTCCTGCTGAAGTGCCTCTTTTTTCTTATAATTTTGCTAAATTATATATATAAATGTGGGAAAAGTGTATTTTTTCAATTTCACAAAAGATAGAATGTTTCATGTAAAACCTTATTTGACAGAAAGCATTTGAACAGTGCTAGTTATAATTAGAAGTGCTATGCTAAAAAAATCCTCTAAACTTTTTAAAAACAAGGTAGGATAGTGATTCATTAAACTACAAAATATAATATGAAAATAAACACTTAAGTGAAATAAAAGCCTTGACAATGATGTAGAATCATTTTTCTAATAAATTATTTTGAAAATGTGGATGACAGTAGTTATATAAGGTTCTCTTTAGAAATTAATTTTGATTGAATTGAATAATTCCTTACCTCTCAAAGATAAAGGAGGTTGGTGGGGCAAAAGGCAAAGGGGTGCTTGGGGCTTGTGTCTCCTCAGCACCTGGGCTGCAGCCCAGGGATGGGGGTGTTGAGCACTGGGCTTTGGGACAGACCTTCAGACTCTCAGACAGAAAAAGCCAGGGCAAGGTCTCGGATGTACAGATTATAGAAATGTGGCACCTTTGGGACACTTCCCCCAGAGAAGAAACTCCGGGAAAAAATGTAAATTGAGGCCCACCAGCTCTCAGTTTTACAGCAGAGCAGAAACCTTCATTCAGTGAACAATAGCAGCAGCTACGAGGGCCTTTTCCATCCTCCTGACACCTTAATTCACTGCTCTGAACTTGTTTGCTCTTGCCAATGGCTTTTGCTCTCCTTTGATCTGTCTTGCTTTCCACTCTGACCTCTCTCCTCTGTGTTCTAACACTACACTGAATTTTCTTGCTTGCTTTGCTTGTTGTCTTTTCTTCTGAATACTTTTCCTCCCCACAAGCTTGAGTGCAGCACCCATCCCAAAAGTTCACTTTCTTATAAACCTGTTTCTTCATGAGAAATGATAGTAATTATTATATTCGTAATTAAAATAAAATGTGAAAAAATTGAAGTGATACGACAGCCATACCTTCTTCCAGAATATTTTCTATGCCCTAGAGCCTAGGACTGTCTTCAGGTAATTAAAAAAAAAAATTACTTGTTTTGTAGAGGATGGTGTTTTGTAATACTCAGACTAGTTAGAAGTATGTCAACAAGACTTAATTAACAACTGGATAGTGTCGGGAGTCTTGCAGCCTGTTAGGAAGTTCAAATAAAGAACAGTAAATCCATAAAAATACCCAACCAGGTAATCTCTCCAGCTTCAAAATTTTGCAAGGGAAAATCCTTGTGTCTTACAGCACCCAGTTCAAGTACTTTTCAGTACAAATAATGATAAGATTTTTTAAAGTTCTCAGAACGTAACTGTGCAGCAAAGGTTTTGCCTGAATTTCTTGATATTTAACCTTGGGATTGGGCCATGAATGTTTAATGTCCACAAATAATCAGGTCTTTGCTTCATTTTGTAGTGAGAATAATAATGCTAAGTGACCTTAGTGGATGGTACGACACTGCCAGCCCACTGCCATATTGCAGAGAATGCCAGTTTATGGCTTGAACCTGCTGTTAGTGTGCTTGTATAAACAATAACAAAGAAGGAAGAGTACTGTTTTCTTCTTCATTTACATCACTTTCTTCCATACCAAGATTTTCTTGGAGTAGCTCTGTACTAACATGCAGTATTGCACCAGATGAATTCAGAGTTTCAGATGGTATAGCTGTAGTTTAGCTGTAAAGTGTAACTTTCAGGTAATGCACAGGAATATTTCTTGTGTACTTTGCAAAATGGAATTTTTAAAATTTTGTTGCTTAGCCCTGAAGAGCTTTGTACACACCTCTTGATATAACTTGGGCTTTTGGAAATGTAGAGTAGGTTTAATTTCTAGTAAAAGAGAAATCAAACATTGCCAATTTGTTTCCCTGCTTGCTGTCAGGGTGGAGTGAAAACTGAGAAGAAAACATTTTCTTTTTATGCCTTGTTCTGGGAAAGAATAAGTTTCCAACTTTCAGAAGGTTTCTAATAGCTGATGATAGTTACTATTTTATTATTTGGGACCGTGACTTACATTAGACAGCTCCAAACTTCTGCTTACATTTTGAAGCTTGGGGATAGAATAATACACAGGACAAACCCATGTGAAGCATGAAGATTTATAGATTTTTAATGCGTACTGGAAAAGTGTACATTCTGAAACAAAAAGCCTGTTGGGTTACTATCTACTGAAGTATGTCTTCATTTTTTCCGTATCACAGTGCTTATCAGAGTCTCATAGAAGAATGAAGGAATGCTTATATGACTGTCTTTGAACCAATCAGAAATAATTTAAATTAACAAACCTTTAATAAGGGTGATTTTAACTGGCCTCAGCCATGTAGTTACAACTGCATCTAATATTCAGCATTTATTTGTGTCCTCAGAAGTGTGGTGTATATGGCTCCTGATCAAAAACATTTAGCCAGTGTGGAATGGAAAAATAAAAAAAGACAAGTTAGGCAGAAAAAGATCAGCTGTTTGGAGGTGTGATATCTGTAGATGAGAGCCAAGTTAGGAAAGGGGTTAGCTATTGAAATAGCCAAGTTAAACAAGAGACACTTAGGGCTAAGTAGTGTCCCAAAGGATTGATAAACTTTCACATGGGGAGTGTATGTGGTTGAGCCATTAGCCCCAAATGGTGTCTTGTTTAACTTGGCTTTTAAGATAACTAGCCCCTGTCTAACTTGGACTTCTCTGATGGTATCCCACCTTTACAGGGCTGATCCTCTTTATAACTTGGCCTTTTGTATTTATAAAATGGTTTTGATCAGATAGCACTTTTTTTTTTTTTTCAGAAGAGAATTAAGCTTGGTTTAGAAAAGAATTAAGTTGCAAGAGAGAATATATTAGTGTCACATTGAGAGACGAACTGATTTTAATAAAAAACAATTGTAGAATGAAGGAAAATGAACATGGCCAGAACTGGATTTTAACCCAGAGCTTGCTCTCCCACAAGTAGATTTTGTTGCCATGAGGCTGTGTTGAGAATGACTGAATCAATTTTTTGCATAATGGAACAAGACCATCTAGTCCCTTAAAATGAATATAAATATGGAAAATGACAAAAAGAAAACTGATATTGCACAAGGGCTGAAAGGCATGAATCCGAATGTGTACTCATGTCTGTGTGCTGACACAACTGCAAGAAAATCAGACAATGTAAATAACATATGGTTTGTTTTTCCAACAAAAGGAGAGAAGGAAGGCAAGGGGGTTTAATAAGTTTGGCAAGTTGTCCCTTCTAAACTATCATAGTCTAAAAGGGATATTTTGTGTATCATTCCAATTCTATAGATGCACCAAGAGCCAAACCCTCCTCTTACTGAAGTCAATGGGAGTTTTGCCATTGACTTCACTGAGACAAAGATTTGGCATTAAAAGATTTAATTCTAACAATTGGAGTCAGGACAGTAACAGATTTCTCATACAAGTTTTCTCCTGTGTGGATAGTGAAAGGCTTTTTTAGCTTGGCTAAAGACACTGTTGCGACTCTGAATGCCTGGGGTGTGGAGGTGTGAGCGTGTCTGTGGGGAGAAGCTCTCAGAGAGTTCTGTACATTTTGCAGGGCAGGGATGATATTTTGCTCTGCATTGGTAGGATGCCGGGCACAGCGGGGCCTGGAGCCTGATGAAGGGCTCCGAGGGCTCCTGTGCTATGAACAATTCTTCATAATGGCGTTAGAGAACTCATAAACAGCGTTCTGTTCCTATGATAGATACCCTAAGTGAGTAACATGTTCTCATGTAGCAACATATGCTTTACATAATTTAGTAATGCAGTACTTTTTATAGGCTTTTAGAGTAAAAACAGGAAGGCGTGTTATTCCACTCTGCTCCACAGCTCCTACCCAAGAATTTCTATATTTGACAGGAAACGCAGTTTGGAGTGACACAGCCAACTATTGTGCTTTATCTTTAGAGCAGCATCTTTATAAGTTGTGTTAAAATGTCCATAGAGAACCAAGCAATGCTGTCTCGTGTACAGCCTTCTGTCTTTGGGTGTGTTCTTATCCATAAGTTAACCAGAGTTCCATTCGAAATCATTTTTGTCAAGCACAAGTATATGGAATTGGTGGAAAGTAAAGGACTTTTTAAAACATTTTAAATTTCTAACATAGATCTATATTATATGAAATAACAAGAGAACTGTCCTCTTCTAACTATTTGATTTTGGTTGAAAAATAAGGTTTTTTAGTGTTTCTGCTGCAGCAGAAAGTGAAAAGTATTTTTCAGCAAGCTGAAGAAGAAAAACACAAAATCCCAGTGAAAATTTTATGAAGTTCAGAATAGTGCCTTTTAATGTGAAGGAATGATAGGAGGCCATTGCAAGGCATGGGGGAGAAGACCAGCAGTATTTTTACCCTGTTGTATAAGACACCAAAATAAACCTGCTTGCTTTATTTAGAAAGGGTCATGTTGTAAATTTGATTTATTTTCTTAATCTTGGTAGGTAAAGCCACTGTGAGAGGGAAGGCCAAGGGGTGATTCTCATATTAATGTATTTCTTGTTTTCTTCCAGGCGAGTACACAACTGCTACAAATGCCGTCAGTGCAGCTTCACAGCTGTTGACACTCAGTCACTACTGGAGCACTTCAACACTGTGCACTGTCAGGAGATGGACATCACTACAGCCAATGGGGAGGACAGTCATGGCGTTTCGTCTATCAAGGAAGAGCCAAAAATTGACCTTAAGGTCTACAGTCTGATTAATCCAGACCCCAAAATAGGGGAACCCATATCTGACAGCATAGTGAAGAGGGAAAAGATAGAAGATAAGGAAGTGCTCAAGGAGAAAGGCTGGACTGACAGTCCCAGTGATGATCTTCGCAATGTGACCTGGAGAGGAACAGACATTTTGAGGGGGAGCCCATCATACACACAGACCAGTCTGGGCTTACTGACCCCCGTGTCTGTTGGCCAAGAGCAGCCAAAGCCTTTAAGGGATAGTCCAAATGTAGAAGCTGCCCATCTGGCAAGGCCCATTTATGGCTTGGCAGTGGAGAGCAAGGGTTTCCTGCAGGGTGTCCCAGCCGGAGCCGCAGAGAAAGCCGGGCAGCTCACCCAGCCCTACTCTGGATCCGGGGACGGCAAGGCAAAAGATGAATCCCAGTCCTTATTACGGGTAGGAAACTTTTTTTTTCCCCTTTTGCTCTTTATGATTGCATGTATGTTATGTTTGATTGGCTGTGCAGATGATTTCTTCAGGTCCAAAGTAACATGCTTGGAGTTCTTTTAGGGCGTGGAAACCAAAAATAAAGCAACAAGGAAAGAGTCAAATCTGTAGAGCCAAACTGGCAGGTAAATGTTCAAAAATGTTCACATAAAACAATCTATATATTGATGGAGTATTAGTAAGCTTCTGCTTTTGCTATTTAGCTCTGATTGAATTCTTTTTAATCATTCCTGCTAATTGTGCAGGTTGGTGATGCATTTGAAGAAGGGAGGTTTAGAACCCCAGAAGGCTGCACATCTGTTACACTGAAACAACTGATCATCTCTTAAATTTTGTGGTGGTGCGACAGTTCACACTTAAGCAGGATTTCATATTGCTGCATATCTAAGAATATGAAATGTGAGCTAAATATTAATAAAAAGTAACTTTTTTTGGTGAAGCAATATAATTATGTATCAGTTTTAACACTTGTCTGGTTGCCTTGGAAGCAAAAGCAAAAGAAAAGGAAGGATCTCGCATGATCAGAGAAGGCAAATATTTGTCACACCAAATAATTCCTATTTTTTTTTTAAACGAAAGGATCTATATACAAGGAACTTTCCCTTCCATCAAGGTGTGGTTTTCCTACTGTAGAGAAAACTGAGGTTAGAAAAGATCTCATATTCTGCGGAGCTGAATAGGGAGACAAATAAATGCTTTTCTCCTGAAGTCATCATATGTTTCCAGGAGCTGCTCCCTATCTGAATTTATAGAAACTTGCCACAGGAGCAGTCAGTCTGCAGACAAACCTCACTAGAATGGAAGTGACGATCTGCTGGTTTCCTTTTTTGTCTTTTATAACAGCATTTATAACCACAGCATCAATTAGTGTAACATGTCACATGTAACAAGTAGAAAGGAAGATAAATGTTTTATTCCATGGTCTGCTAAGATTATGCACATATATGTCTGTCACAGGTATATCTGTCTCTGTACATATAGAAGTCTTAAAAACTGTTTTAAATGAAGTCAGTGGTCTTAAAAATATTGCAGTTATTCTAATTATAAAATAGCGTGTCTGCAATTTAAACCCTGCTTGCGATTTAGGGGGACAACAAACTTTTGTACCTTAGTTATTGTTCTCAGATTTTAAGTGTATGAGAAACAGTTACAGTATGATAGGTTCCTTGTTGCTAACCTAGATGTGTGCTCACTGTGGATGATAGGATTGTATTTCTCTCCTCCATTAGGGAATATATATTAAAACACATACAGAAACCCGTGCAGCAGTGGAATTCCTGCTGTACATATGATGTTAGTTACATCCCACTTCAGTTCTCGTACTGGTTCTTAGCCACGTGCAGACAGATTCACTAGAGGAGCCATTTAATCTGTAGTTTATCAGAATACAAATTATTTTCATTTATTTTCAATTTTTCAAATATTTTTATTTCTTTTTTGTCTGCCAGAGGATGAAAGATAACCAAACAAAAATCTACAAAGGGACATGGTAATATGCAGAATCAGCTCTATAAAGGTCTTAATTTGGTTGATAGGGGGACCTAAAATCTTAGTAAATGGTAGAATAATATTACCTGCTTTAGCCACTGCTGAGTACGGAATGGGAAACTGTATGCTGGCTGCTTCTTATGCCCTTTGTAAAAATAAGTTTAGATGCTTTTTAAAAGTTTTTATACAAAACCACTTTTTTATATATATTTTTTCAAATTAGTATTTTATCAATTTGGAAATACTTTGATCACTCCTGGGTATGAAAAATCCGTATCTTCCATACTTTTCTGAAAAAAAAAGTTTTTACTTTTGTGTACAACCCTACTTTTCTTTTATGATGATTTATTAGGAGATTATGTTTATAGTGACTGATAAACCCATATCAGCGTCCTTCAAACAGTAATTTTGTGTGCACCTTTAGCTGCCATGCTATTTGAACTTTATTGAGCAAAGGACTTGTTTGTCTGTGTCTTTTCCTTAGTGACCATATTTGAATTTTCACTTTTCTTTGAAAATTGGACAAGTTGCTTTTGTCAGCTTGAAATATTTTTTTAAAAAGTGGGGGAAAGGAGATTAACTTTTTTCATCTGCTGAACAGTGTCCCTAATCTTACATACTTCATCATGATTGATGGATAGAGAAAACAAAAAGAGAATTGAAACTTCTTGAAGGTAAGGGGTGATCTGAAGGATAGGAGATGTGGGAGTGTGATTCTGTGAGTAATATTAGTTCTCTCTTCTTTTCAATCTGTGAAAAAGATCATAGAAACCCAACTCCTTTAATTTGCTCTTGATTTAGTTTTCTGCAGACAGTTATGGGATGCAGTACTGGAGCCATAAATAAGAAGACAAAGCGATGGTCAGCTTGACCGCTGGGAGTTTAGTGTCAAGGATTATCTGACATACAGATGTGTATGCCTGGAAGCTCAGTTGGCACAGAGAGAAATAAAAATTGTTCAGAAAAGAACTTACCATCCATTCTTGAAAAAGATAATTTTTGTAATCCTCTGAAATAAAAAAAAAAAAAGTGTTGTGTTGTTAAGCAAATTTCTCATTATATCTACTTTTGGCTACGTTTATTTTTCTAATGTGAAATAGTTAGTAGGAGTAGCTAATGCTATCTAAAAGTTGGTCCTCTCTGAAAGCAAAGTGTTAACTCAATACATCCTTCTAGTATCATATAATGAATGCTTATGCAAAACACTGTATCCCAGGACGACTGGTGACTAGGAAACAAAACCTATAATAAAATCACTGTGGACACCTTCATTTTTTTTCCCCCGAAGATTGACACAGAGGAAGCCAAAAATTTTGGATTACTCAGTGAATAAACACTGAGAAATGGACTGAAAGAGAAAATTGCTAACACATCCCTTTGGTTGTACTAGCTATTCAGTATTTATGAAGTGGTTCTGCTAATTACAAATGATCTGTAATGGTTTGACAGTAGCAGCAATGCTATGTACTTTTAATTTCTTACTTTCTTGATGATGGGGGGAAGGCACAGCAGAAATCAGATTTTTTTCACATTTTTTCAAATAGAGGTTGATACTACAAGTTTAGAAGTGATTAGCATTTTGGTAAAATATCAGAGATAATACAAATGAACTGGACAAGGGGTGAAAATATACCATAGCCCACGGAAATTCTTAATGCTTACAGGATAATTAATTCTTGGAAATTGCTTGGAGTAATTTTCAGCTTCGGATGTTGTCTAAGCCATTTATGTGCTCTTTCTTGCATTCCTTCTGTACATGATGGCCATGGTCCTTCCCCAGACTCTGTGCTACAGTAGATTTTTTGCGGGAGTCATTGGGGTAAGATTTCTTTCATTTTTAGAATCTAAGAGACCAAATTGCTTGTGACCTTTTGGGAGCTGGAGACACGGCAAATACACATGTGCAGTGGATGCACCTTTATCCCTGAGAATGCTTCCAAGCTGTGTGTGTGTAACAGAATCTTTCTCAGGGGCTTGGTACACTTCTGTGAGTAGCTTTAATTTATTTTTCTTATTAAAATATTTCCAGCCACTGTACTTGCAGCGAATCAGTATGTTTTGCAAATGGGAATTACCAAAAATGTACCTCAGTGTGGTACAATGTGGACATTATTTCTGCTCTTCCTTAGAATAGCTGATTTTCTAGTTTAAAGATTTGTTGATACTGGAAGGTCTATTGAGATGCAAAAATGTTCCTTTTTTTGGGTAGCACATTGGCAGCCAACAGACTCCAGGCCAGGCAGATTGTTTAATGCTTTGACAGGGCAGATCTTGGACAGAGAGAACTTTTTGCTAAACTGATTTTAAATGAAGTGTCCTGTTTTGGTCTGTATGGACACTGCAGAATAAAGTTTTCCACAAAATGGGGAACTGTAGCCTGAGCCTTCAGACGTATACACAGGCCTAGTTAGCCCACCTAAAGGTGTTGGTATAGACATTGTAGTTTAGCCAACAGAGATGCAGTAATAACACAGGTCACTGTGTCTGTCCTGCAGGGTCACATGGGCCTGCAGACAGCAAGATTACTTTGTGTATTAATCATAGTTCCTAGAGGGATTTATGTACCATCAAAGGAAGAGAAATTGTCACATTATTACAAAAGTAATGTGGATTTTTAACGGAGGCATACTGCAGGTTTTAACATTAAATATATAACTGTGGTTATGTTAACCTTTGCTATGAGCTTTTTATGTGGTGCAAAGGATAAAATCGACTCTTCTATTAAACTAAGATTATTTTGCACCATAATGATCAGACTGTTTAAACACTACAGGAAATCACAGCATTTCAAAAAAGTTTTCATTTACTTTGAGAAGAGTTATTTTCTTTTTATCTGTGATATTTGCACTTGTGGTACTTCATATGGTGTTCTGGCTAAAGCTGGTTGTGCAGCTTTAAATTTGGGGGAGATAGAAAATTAGTAAAAGTTACTTCTCCTCTCCCTGTTTTGCATTCTCCTATGTGGGTGACTGGCAGAGCTAATTTAAAAATAAGCAATTGGTATGTAAGTATAAAATCTTCATATAATAGATTTAGTATCAGCATAGTAAATATCAGACACAATCCCTTATGGCAAATCATAGTTTCTCCTATTATAAAGTACTGACTCCTGTTGTCCACAGAGCTGGATGCAAAATAGCTGCAAAGCAGTGGAAACGCTGAGCTGTCCTTTGTGATTTCCAAAAGACTTCTCTAAGCACATACAATTCTTGGCCAGAAGGATAACACACATTTGAGGTAAAATCTGCCTCTCTCATGCTGGTAGAAATATTGCTGCTGCTGCCTTTAGTGGGAGCACAAGAAGCAGCATGAGAAGGTTCAAGCACACAGAGTAGGAGAGTGGGATCTTAGCTAAAACGTGATTTTTTGGTGGTCCCTCCAGGGTGACAGATGGAAGTTTTTGTGTTCTTTGGCATTGTGTCCCACTTCAGCCACCTTCTCATAGCAGCATCTTAATACTG